AAAAAGAAAAAAAGAAAGAGAAAGATCTCAATTGGATGTTAATGTCTAATTCCTCTCTAACACCCTTTAACCTTAGCTAGCACCCCATTTTCTTTACACAGAAGGCCTCAGGCTCTAAGTCTTTGCAGGACACATGTAGTTGTAATTTAGTATCTCTACTTGGTTTTCACTTTTTTAGTTACTATCCATTTGTATCAAGTGAAGTTTCTTTCTTTTTCTTGAAGTTGGTTTTTTTTGTTTTTTTTTTGGTACCGGGGATCGAACTCAGGTCCTTGTGCTTATGCAGCAGGTGGTGGAATCACTGAGCTAAATCCCCGGCCCTCTTTCTTTTTCTTTTTTTCTTTTTTTGTTTTTTTTTTGGGACAGGGTCTTGCCATGTAGTTGAGACTGACCCAGAACTCACTATGTAGCCCAGGCTGATCTTGAACTCACAGCGATCCTCCTGATCCTCCTGCCTCAGCCTCCCAAGTGCTGGGATTACAGGCGTGCGCCATTACACCCGGCGAAAAGTTTCTTTAAGGAAATCCATTCAAGGGCTGGGGTGTAGCTCATGTATGAGAAGGTCCTCTAGGGAAACAAATCTATTTAAATAAAAAAGATGAGTTATGATTTCTTCTTCTGTGGCCTCACCTTGCCTTGAGTTTGGGCTCTATCAGCCTCCAAAGGAGGTGGAACTATATGCACATACCATCTTGCCTGGCTCAGGTTTTAAAAGTATTAGGTAAACAACAGTATGAGAAGAACAGAAATCTGGAAAAATCATGGAGGCAATACTTAAGACAACTGAACTTTGGAAACATTGTTCTGGAATAAGGAACTTTTGGCTCAATAACTTTCTACTTCATGCTTTTGTGCTTTCTGGGTTCTGCCTGTTTAGTTTGTTTTTGTTGTTCTTGAATACAGACGTGTGTGTGTGTGTGTGTGTGTGTGTGTGTGTGTGTATTTTTTTTTTTTTTTAATCCCAATCTTGTTTTAGCTGGCAAGGGAAAAGGGATTTGTTTTCATCTGGGTTAAGAAAACAAAGACAGGAGGGCCCTGAAGGTTAAGCGATCCAGTGGAGTGGGACACTGGGTGAAAGCCATGGTCAGCAGGTGCTGGGCCTGCTGAGCAGGGCTCCCTTCCCTCTCAGAGCCAAGTCTGAGTGTCAATAAAAAGATCATTCTATGGGTAGGGGAGGCAGGGAAAGAGCAAAAGGTACAAAACCTTTTTTTTTTTTTTAATGTTTAACTTTTCTTTTTAAAAAAAAGTTATAAAATTAAATGGCCAGTTAATTAGAGTTAAAAATCTATTGTAGCAATACTTCACTGGTTCTCTTGACTCCAGGTCGATATCCTTCCTACCCTGACCCTTCATTTCCTAGAACTTGCACAGGTTTGGATTTTTCTTCAACAAATACAATCTTAAGTAGTTTGTAAGTAATCAGCACTTCTGGCATGTGGAGGCCCTGGCTGAGGCCGCAGGGCAGCCCTCGGCAGATCTCAGTGTCACCTGTGGGCCACTCCTGGGGTGCCCTGCGACTGCCTGGGTTCATGCAGGCCCTGTGAGGTGGCCGTGGGTCTGTCTTGCCCATGAGTCCTGCTGGTCTCCCCGGGGACAGATGTTCTGTCCTGGGCTCAGCTCCATTCACATCCTTGCTTTATTCCACTTTGATTCTAGTCAGCTCCCATCTTCCTCCTCCACAGAGTTTCAGAACCCAGGAGTGGAACTGCGAGAGACACCGACGCACAATGATCAGGTTGCCTGGCCACCAGAGCAGAAGACATCCTGTTCCCTCTGCCATCAGACTCCTGATGCTGAGGGAACTCTGGCCCAGCCTTTGGGGTGTTTCTCATCCTCATGGGCGGGGTACCTTCTCCAGGCTGGGCCGATGTCCCACGCTGACGAATGTCATCCCTAGCTGCTGGCCGATGCGGTAGAGCTCACTCTCAACCTCCTCTGTCAAGGCGCTGGTGGCTTCATCAAGCACTGAGGGCACGGAGGGAAGGGATCAAATTCCAGTCCTGCCCCCAGGGTTCTCCTCCAACCAACCCTAAACGGGACTGGGCACAGGGGAAGCTGAAAGCTGCTCTGGCTTTCAGGAGCTCAGCCTCCAAGAGAGGATGGGTTAGGGAGGCGAGGGCCAGCTGGGGACGCTCCTGAGCTAGGCCAAAGCACCTCAGCTTCATAGAAGCAAGTGCCACTGCTCCCTAGGACTGCTCAATCTAGGGACATCCAGTTCCTCCCTGAAGTCCACAGCTGCCACCCCTTGGCCAGCCACTGCTGGGTGACACACATTTATTTGACTGCCCAAGAAGCTAAATCACAACCCCACTCAAGGCTGACTCTGGGCTCCAGCTGCTGCCACGGCAGGTCCTGGCAGCACCTGGGGCTGCTCTGTGAGTGTGGGGGTGCCCAGCACACCCACTCTTGGGCCGGACCTCACCTGCATACTTTGGCTGCAGGTAGAAGAGTCGAGCAAACGAGAGCCTTTGCATCTCCCCCGGGGACAGGACATCATACCTATGAAAAGGACCTTGAGATGAACACCGGAGGAAGGAAGCAACAGCTTGGCTTTTGTAAAGTTGGGCAAAAAGGAGTTCTCTCTGTGGAGGTTGCCTCCCTACTCCCCATAACAGACAGGTGGCTCCACTCACAGCCACAGCTCTGCTGCTCCCACCAGATAAGGCCCAAAATCTGCTCCCAAGGGCAGAAAACCTGTGCATGATGGACCAGCTAAACACTTGGCCTTTGGGGTCAGTCGCCACTCCGTCCCTGACAGGACCCCTGGGAACCACTGTCTTCATAGGGAGCTGACTGGGGGCCCCAATTTCATCCTTACCAGTTCCAATCCACCTGCTGGTCCAGACCCTCTGTCCTCACCACCAAGCTGGACTGTAACAGACGCGGAGCGGGCAGGGGAGGAGGGTGTCCATGAAAGGACTCATCCCTGCTTCCTGCCACCCTTAGTTCCCATGACAGAAAAGGTTCGAAGACAGACACCCCAGAGGCAAGCCAAAGTGGGTATCAACTACACTGGTTCGTTCTGGAGCGTGGTATGATAAAAAGCAAAGACTCGGTTTCATTATTGCTTTAAACTTCTCTACAGAAAACACACACCCGTACTCCTGCTCCGGGCCAATGGCTCCCACTGCCAGTGTGGTCCTGCTCTCTGCCTCAGTCCCGGGCCCAGAGATGGCTCTGCTGCACCAGAATCTACCTACAGTCAGTACTCTCTGAGGTGCAGAGGAGCCCTACCCTCCTTACCAGGCCTGCCAATTCCAAGAACCTCAGGATCCTTTCATCATCAGTAGAACCTGCAAAGCACAGAAGGTGTCTTCGGCTGTCAGGCGCTCTGGCTGGTCAGAATAGATGGGGTATAGGATGGCAGGGGTGGACACCCCAGAACGCTGAGCTGCGGCTCAGGTGACAGTGACTGCACTTGATAAGGGAAGGACCAGGTGGAAGAAGTAATTGCTTCCTTCACTGGGTGTCTCTTCCCTGGGAGGGGAAGACAGAAATGAGATGAGGCCGCAGTACAAACCCCTAAACAGTAAGGGCACAAGTGAGGCCACATTTAGGCAGAGCAGGGACAACAGATGGGATGCTGTGACCCAAGGCGGCTCACCTGAGTCTGGGTAGATCTCCTTTAGGGGATAGATCACCTGAAAATACAACCGCACCGCCTAGGTGAGTGCTGACGAGAGGCCGAGCTGCACGGTGACCCCTCCTCAATCTCCTGTCCATCTGAGGGGAATTGGGACACCGTGGCCCGAGGAGAGACTCAGAGTGCACACAGTGGGGCAGGAAACTGGAACCTTCAGAAATACATTTGGGGCTAAGAGTCTGTGAACCTCCTGGGAGCAGAGTTCCAGAATTTGACCTCGCTGCTCAGTAAACGAGTGAATAACTGGCCAGTGGCCCCTACAGATTTACCTGCACCCAGGAGGTGCTCTGAGTACAGGAGTCCAATCCATGGGTGACGAACAGAATTTCCTCAGAACCCGTGGAGTCTTGGGCATGGCCGCCTTATGACCCACCTTCTGCCCCAGAACTCCCGCGGCCTCAGATCTGCCAGCTGCTGGAAGGCCTGGCTGTGTGTGGGTGGGTGAGGAGGACAATGGGCCCCTGACCCGGCTGACCTGCTCCCGGAGGGTCCCGTCAGTGAAGAATGGCTTTTGTGGCAGGAACAGCACCCCATGGGGCCCAAAGTCGGTCAGCATCTGCACGGAGCCTGCAGAGCCCACAGAAGCCTCTGCTTTGAGATCTCACAGAGAAGGTGCTGCCTTGCCTCTCCTGCCCACTTCTCACTCTTTCCCCAGCTAAGAAGGCTGGAACCCACCACAATGCCAAGCCCAGGGGCCAAGACTGGGTCAGGAGCAGAAAGGGCCATGCTCTCACCCCGGGTGCTGGCCCAGAGGCCACCCAAAGCCCGCAGCAAGGAGGTCTTGCCGGTGCCCGTGTTGCCAGTGATGAGCAGACTCTGCCCCTCACAGATCTTCAGGCTCAGGTCCTTGACCAGGGGTTTGTCAGAGGAGGGGGCTGAGATGCAGACCCGCTCCAGGAGAAAAGCTGTGTCTGTGGCCTCGGGCGCTGGCCACTGTGGGGCCCTAGGAAAGAGAAGGGAACGGTGTGAGCACTGTCCGGGGAGATGCTTCGACCAGAAACATCACCTCTGCCTGAGGTTGGGGGCTTATGGCCTGTACTCTGTCACCAAATCCATACGACATCCTAGGCCCTGGTACCTCAGAATGTAACTCCATGAGGAGAATGGGCCTTTAAAGAGGTGATGTTGGAATGAGCTGTTAGGGTGAACCCAAGGGACAGCGCATGCATGGAGCACAGGCCAGGAGAGGACGAGCAAGAAGGCGACCATCTACAAGCCAAGGAGAGGCCTCTGGAGGAACCAACCCTGCCAACAACTTGACCTTGGATTTCTCCAGACTGCCAGAAAATTAATTTCTATCGCTTAGGCAGCTCACTGTGTAGTATGTTGTCATGGCAGCCTGAGCTCATTAACACAGGGTGGAGGTGGGGGCACCAACTCTGTGGTCCACTGTGCAAAGCTCTGTAGGTGACTCATTTTTTTTCTTTTTCTTTATATTGTGGTGCTAGGAATTGAACACAGAGCCCTAAGCATGTGCTCTAAGCACTGAGCTACATCGTCAGCCCCTTATTTTTCTTATAAGAGACAGGGCCGTGCCACGTTGCCACGGCCAGCCTCGAATTCACAATGCTCCTGCCTCAGCCTCCTGAGTACCTGGCACCACAGGCACATGTCACCATGGCTGGTTTGTAACAAATTTTAATTAACCCATGAATGACATTCTCCTCACTTGGTGGACAAAGAAATCATATCAGGAAGCCAAAGGTCACAATGCTATCTAATCCCAATGTCAGTGGGCGTTCTGGAGATGAGTGTTTAGGACTTAACAGCACCGGAGCTCCTCCCTACATGCAGATGCCTGTCTCTCCTGCAGTCCCAGTGCCATCCCCAACCTCTGAGCCCACAGGGCAAGTGTTAAGGAATTTGAGCCAGGCATGGTGGTGCATGCCTATAATCCTAGCATTTGGGAGGCTGAGACTGGAGGATTGCCATGAGTTTGAGGCCAACCTGAACTAATAGTGAGATCTTGTCTCAAAAAAACAAAATAAAAAACAAAAAACAAAACCCCCCAAAACCAAAACATTTTTTTTTTTTTTGTACCTTGTGCTTGCTAGGCAGGTGCCAGAACCACTAAGCTCTCAGTGGTTTCGCCACCTGCCTTGCAAGCTCAAGGGCCAGAGTTCAATCCCCTGTACCAAAAACAACAACAACAACAACAAACAAACAAACAAAAAAAGCAAAACTATATTCCCGGCCCCTCAATTTTTGAAAGCTTAGTGTGTAGGTGCTATCCAAGCACTTTCCAAGAACTATGGAATCTAATCCTCACAACTGCATAGGAAGAAAGTCCTGTTCAAATCCCCCTTTAAAAAGTTTTAAATGGGCCAGGGATGTAGCTCAGTGGCCCTGTGCCTGCCTGGCAGGCACAAGGTCCTGAGTTTGATCCCGGTATGGAAAAAAAGAAAAAAAAGAAGAGAAAAAGAAAAAGAAAAAGTTTCATTTATTTATCTTTTTTTTTCTTTTGAGACAAGGTCATGCTGTGTAGTTCAAACTGGGCTTGAACTCACAGTGCTCCTCCTGCCTTAGCCTCCCAAGTGCTGGGATTACAGGTGTGTGCCACTCTGCCTGGTTTCATATCCCTTTCAGAGATGAAAACATGGTGACATGGAAGGCTGGGGATTTAGCTCACTGGCACCACGCCTGCCTCACAAGTGCAAGGTCCTGAATTTGAGGTTCCTGGTACTGGGAAGAAAAAAAAAAAAAAGAAATGGTAGCATGGGACAGATAAGTGATTTGCCTAAGTAAAGTGAGAAGATGAAATAAACCTTGAAAGCACAGGAAGGTCAGGAACATTCCTGATCCCTAAAAATACACAAATAAAGACATCTCTAGGTCTGAGAGGGGCCAGGCAGAAGAGGAAAAGGATGAGGAAAGTCCTAGGCAGACCTTTGTTTTACTATGTGCCCAGCAGGTCTGTGCATGTTGTTTCCATCAGCCGGGAGATGATGTAAATCACAGTGAGTGACAGAACAGCAAGGGTGCTGGTGACAAGGCGACCTCCTTGCCCTTCTGCTCCCCCCCCCGCCCCTGGTGGGAGACAGTCAGAGATGAGGCTCCAAGGTGCGCTCAGCTGCATCCTCACCCTGCCCTGCTCTGTAGCCCCGAACTCACCTGTCCAAGCCCTGCTCGCTCTCGCAGTCCTGCGACGTCAGGAACATGTCCAGCAGGGCCTCCTGCAGCTCCCCAATCCTGCTTAAGAAGTGAGAAGCTGAGGTAGGGCCGGGCACCAGGTGACGGCCACACCACTTTCTGCCTCACGCCCACTCGCACCACTGCTTCTTCCCGCATCCTGCTCAGGGCTGCAGCCTCACCTGTGCGTGTAACTGGCCACGTCTGAGAGCGTGGTGGAGAGGTCGATGAGCTTGCTGAAACAGCTGATGAGGTAGATGCACACGAATGCATTCTGGACGGGACAGAGAGCAGTCAGCACAACCTGGACCCCAAGGCCTTGGGCAGTGAGGGGAAAGCAGGAGGGACTCCTACCTTGCTGACCAGGGTGCTAAGTTCAGCGGGGCTCAAGTCTCCATAGACCCCGCTGAAAATGGGGATTGCGATGACAACGTAACTCAGGATGCTGCCCATGTAGTCAAAGGTGTTGACACCAACTGCAGGAGACAGACCGCTTGAGAACCGGGGGCCACTCCCATGCTCTGCGGGGACCCAGCCCTGGAGGGGCAGGGAGCTAAGCAGGGCCATGCTTCCCCTCACCTTCATTCTCCCAAGGACAGAGCGTGGAAAGGCAGTGGTTAATTCCATTACCACAGCCAGCTGCTCAAGGCAGGCAGTGGGAGAAAAGCAGACCATCTGCATCCCATGGTCCCCACCTCCAGGGGCCCCTCTGCCTACTGTACAGCCAGAGCTCCTTGGACATCAGCTCCCTCTGGGTCTGAAGGAGTCTCTGAAGCCTGCGGTCTGTCCTCATGTGTTCCACAGGCCCGGCTCTGATGAGAAAGGCTGGGATGTCCGTGGGGCCTGAGAGGACTCAGCGGGCTAGGAGCCCCTACTCCTCATCAGGCCCACCCAAATGACCTTGCCTCAGACACTTTCTGCCACTAGTACTTCACTGCTGTTCTTTCTCATGGTATTGTCTGTGGGCAGGACATGAACTCTAGACTTAGCCAGACCTCGTTCAAATCCTGGCTCTGGTTTCTAGTTGAGTGACATCGGAGGTTTATTTAACATCTAATGCCTTAGATTTTCTCATCTGTAAAATGGAGGGAAGAGTATCTATGTAATAAATTAGTAATTATGAGTCTCTGAATATAAGCTGGGAATGATGGTGCACATTTGTAATCCCAATGCTCAAGAGGCAGAGGCAAGAAGATGGTGAATTCGAGGCCAGTTTGAGCTGCATCACAAGATCATGTCCCAAAAACCCAAAAAATGGCTTGGTGTGGTGGTGCACACCTGTAATTCCAGCATTCCAGAAGGCTGAGGAAGGAGAATCACAAGTTCCAAGCTTTCACAACTTCATAACTTAGCAAGACCTGTCTCAAAAAAGGGCTGGGGATGTAACTCAGTGTGAAGGTCCTGGGCTTAACTCCCAGGGCCACACACACACAGAAATTGAATATAAAGAACCTGACAAATTCACTGCGCCTGCCTCACAAACACAAGGTCCTGAGTTCAGTCCCCAAAACTGAAGAAGAAAAACAAAAACAAAAACAAAAGAACCTTTAATAAACAAGAGCTGCTGTTCATCGAACACAATGGAGCAGTGACTACTACCAGGCTCTGTGTGAGTCAGTGAGAGGTGGATAAGTAGATCCTGTCCTTGTAGATCCTGCAGCTCAGAGGGCAGGCAGCATGCTGCACTCTTCACCAGGAATGTGCAGGGTCAAGTGTATCCTCAGGGACATGGCAACAAACAGACGTGACTGCTCCCACTGAGTCTGAGAAACCTCCCCAGAGGAGGTGACAGGGCCGCAAAGACAGGCATAAATTCTCCAGGCAAAGGAGGAGGATGAGAGGGTGCATTTCAAATTTTGCACAGCGGCTGCCCAAGACCCAGTCTGGAGCTCCAAGAACTAACCTGCCTTTCTCAGCTCAGTGAGCTTCGGAATCCAAAAGCAAAGCCCTCTACCAAGCCCTGCTCAAATTCCTAGCGCCCCTAAGTGGTGGTGGTTGCAAACTGCAGCAGAGACAGACAGCAAACAACTCAAGGAAGATGCAAGGATAAACACAACTTCTGAAACACAAAGCCCTGAGGCCTGTACCATATGAGTGCCCTTGCTAACCAGAAGGCCCCACACAGGCAGAGCACAGGGACCTGCCCTGGCCTGAGATATTTCACAACACTGTCATCAGTAGCCCTGGCAAGGCTCCACTGGATGGCCTTGGGGCACAGCCATTCCCACCCAAGCCACCGAGGCACAAAGAATCAGACTTGAATTCCAGGCATTGGTAAGACAGCTTATTTCATAGACAGGCAGACAGGCAGAGGTGATGCCTTCCAGTCATCAGCAAGGAGCACTTTCTCATTTTGTTCTTTGGCCACTGCAGGCTGCATGGTAGCCCACTAACCCTAAAGCTGGCCACTACAAGGAGCCATCAGCTCCAGAAGCAAATCAACGGGGACAGTGAGAGGGAAAGGGTCGCAGCCAAGCGTGACGATGCTCAGTCTGAGTGCGTGGTGCCAAGAAGGATGCGGACTTCATCTCTCCTTCTCTGCTATCAGCTCTGCCAGGTGGTGGGGGCATCTCCAGCAGACTCACCTGTAGAAAGCAGCAGCCTCCGCATTCACCCGAATCTGCATGTGCTTGAACCTGGGCAGGGAGAAGGGATGTTTGTGCTGATGGCGGGGAGACCGGACCTAGAGGAAACCCCACCTCTCCAGTGCCTGGGGCACTGCTCTAACTCAACACTGCAACTGCCTCTGCCACCTTTCCCTGGACTGTCTCAGGTAGAAAACCCCAGGACCTGGGTCGGTGGCAGTCTTCTGCGGACAGGATGGGGCTCTCCCTTCCACGGCACCTCCTCCCCCAGGCCCTCCCTGAAGGAGAGGCCAAGAAGCGGGTAGAGCACTCGTCACATCAATCAGCTGCCTGGCCCAAAAGACCCGAGAAAGGGTGGTTGGACCAGAAGGAGGTGAGAGGCCAGGCACACCTGTGATGCCAGCATTGGAGAGGCTGAGTAGGATTGTCTCCCGTTCAAGGCCAGCCTGGGCTACACAGGGAGTTCAGGGCCAGCCTGAGCTACAAAGGGAGACCCTCTCTCAAAAACAAAACAAAAATAAACAAAACAAACAGAAGTAATTGAGAAGGCCACTGTGTGGTAATGACACTGGTGATGGCCAACGAGACACTGCTCTGTGATTCTCATGTATAATCTCTTTAGTTCTCTCAGATGGCAACTGAATCATCCCACTTCAGATGGCAGAACTGAAATTTAAGAGGTGAAAGATCTCGCCCAAGATCACAAAGCTAGTAACTGGCTAGCTGGGATTTGAGCTAAGTCAGCCTTATCCCTGGTCCTATCCTTTAACCATATTCACCCCAAGAAAGGCTGGGTGTCGTGGTGCACATCTGTAATCTCAGCCCTTGAGAGGCTGAGGCAGGAGGATCATCATGAGGTTGAGCCCAGCCTGGGCTACATGGTGAATTCAATGCCAGCTTGAACTACATAGCCAGATCTTATCTCAAAAAACCCGCCACCTGCCCTGCAAGCACAGTTTGATCCCTGTTACTAAAAAACAAACAAACTGACAAACAAAACAAAACAAAACCCAACAACAAACCTTAAGCAAGGTACGTACCTGAAATCTCCCTCCAGCTTTTCCTGCTGCACCAGCTTTGCCACGATGGGCCCCATCAAAGTCCTGTTCACCACGGTTCCCAGGATGAAATACCCAAAGATGCTCACAGGCCCAAGCCAGCCTGTGCTGAAAGGTGGAGGAGGAGGAGGGCGGAGAAGGGCTTGGGGCACCAAGGAACCTCACAGGCCTCAGCCCCGCCTCTGCCCCTTCTCAGGTAGACCCCGTCCAACTTCAGTAGCCCATGGGCCTCTGCTCCCATGTGAGTTGTCAAGACTGCCAGGATTCCCGACTCTGAAACACCACAGGACCAAAAGGGCAGGGGCCTAGCACATGAGCTAGACAGGGGGAGGGAGGAGAAGCCTCTCTTGGACCCTGACCTGACCTCTGTGAAACTCGGGGAAAACACCAGGCTGGAGAGAAGAAAGGGGCCTGGGAGGAGGAGGGGACACACCTCTGGAAGCACTGGAAAGTGTAGTACATGAGGGTGAAGGGGGAGATGATCAGCTTGCTGGCCATGCTGCTGAGCTGCCTGCAGAGCCGCTCCACATCCTGGCTGATGCGCTGGTCCCTGCAGCCAATGACACAGAACTCGTCAGTGAGCTGGGCTCTGGGGAGGAATGCATCGAGGTGCTTTGCCCTCTCCCGGCCCTGCCTTTCAGTGCCCTCAGCAATGACCCCATGGGAAGATGCACCAGCCGAGGCAGGGTTCCTAGAGGGAACTGAACCCTTAGGGCCTTTAAATGGGGATCTAGACAGTTGCTTCTTCTGGTGCCTCAGTTTACTCCTCAAGAAAGTAAAACTGAAAGGCTCAGAAGCAGGAGCCAGCTCTGAGCAGAGCCAAAGGGAAATTGTGGGTAGAGAAGCCACCTTTCTGGGTGATCAGGAGCATGGTCCTTTTAGTTCAAGCCTCAAGCTCTCTATGGGCCTGAGCCCGCCCAGTACAGCTTCTGGCTATGAAAGCCTCACCCAGGTCAAACCATCAGGAAGAGGCCAAGGTGGCAGAGTGCAGGCGGCTTTCCCAGCACCTAAGCGGCAGGCAGAGCTCAACTTGAGTTGAAGAAAGGTTGCCCTGGCAACAAGGCGCTTCCTACACTTGTGATGAGTGGGTCGGGAATGGGAGTGAGAGTCCCCATAGGTCCCCTCTCACCACCATGGCCACACGGACTCCTGTTCCCAACAACAGAAGTGACCCTGGGTGCTTGCGGTTCTGAGGCCTCAGTTTCCTGACCTACAAATAACGACAGCAACTTACACTGGAACACGTGCTAGGTGTGGCACTGCACATTACACGCATTGTACCATCTCACCCTCATTCCATCCTTTGAGATAGGAGCGATCACTATCTTCATTTTATAGAAGAGGAACCTAGGGCTTAGTGTACGGATGTAAGAGGTAGAAGCTCAGAGATCATAGAACTCAGATATGAATCCCAGACTGAATCTGAGACAACAGTAACTTTTCTTCTTTTGCCTTCTTTCTTTCTTCATTTGCCTTATTTGGAAGCACAAGGTATGAAACAGACAAAAGGGAGCTACTTTTGGGCTCCTCTTTGGTTTCCTATTCTCTGCCTGTACATGGTTCCCAACAGAGCACCACACACACACACAGCCTGGGGCAGAAGCATTTGCCCACTGTGCGTGATCTCTGTGGGGTCTGCAGCTGGGACTCTCCAGGGATGGACCAGCATGCAAAGGGCAGAAAGGATCGAGGGGGCTCCTACGGGTTGTCGATGTCATCCCGCAGCACATTGAGGGTGTAGTACACACGGGCCCGGAAGTAGAGGCGGTGCAGGTGCTCGGTGAGGTCCTTCCTCCAGCTCACGTACAGCAGGCTGGAGATGAACTGGTCAAAGCTCTTCAGCTGTGCAGTGGAGGAGGCAAGGAAAAGGGAGGAAAGGGAGAGATGGCTTCCTGCCAAGTCTTGGTTCAAAGCTCAGGGCTTGTAGAAGCCTCTGCTGACCGGGTCCAGCCCACTCTGAAAGCTCAGCACTTTCCTAGTTGAAAGCCTCAGTCACAGGATTCTTCCTTCCTCATTCACTCCTGTGTTTATTCTTTCACAGAATCTTGAAGGGCTCATCCAAGGCAAGACTCTCGCGCCCTTGTGACAGTGTACTGTGGCACACTGAGAGCAGAGGAGCTTCTGGAGACTGGGGAGCACAACCACTGCCCCCCGGAGTAGAAAAGCTTGCATCTACCTAGGTGCTTACTGACTGAAGGCCCATTAAGTGCCACAGTGTGGCGAGAAGTGGCTTTCTTAGAAAACAGCCAACAGGGAACATCAGGCTGGGTTCTGGCACAGCCTCGATATTTGTGAGGCACCTCTGTACTAAAGTAACAAAGCGCCCACAGGCCAGCTGGGGAGCTGACAGTGACAAGGGTGTATGGAATGTGACAGCTACAATCAACTCACAGAATTAGTTAGGTATAGAAAAGGGGCTCAGTCTGGTAGAAGAAATATGAAAAAGAAAGGACTTGAAAGAGGTGGCCAGGGAGGCATCTTGAAATAAATGAGCAGGCTTTAGCCAACCGAGCAAGGGATGGGAGAAAGGGGGCCATTCCGCAAGAAAGCAGCAGGTGCAAGGGCTGGGGTGTGATGCAGTGCGAGGCTAAGTCACAGCGACAGGTGCCAAAGGAGCAGCAGCAGTTTCTGGTTGTGAATCCTGGTTTTAAAGCTCTCTGGGGTCCCCAAAGCAAGAGTTTTAGGAATAATAGGGACATTGACCATTTCCACTAGCTGCCAAATTAAACCAGGACCTTGTGGCCTAGCTCTAGGTTTAAAACACCTGAGAAATTGGTCTCAAGTGGGCCAATAATGAGATCAATCCCTGCCTAGGGTTCTGACTCTCAGGGCAACCACCCCTTTGGTTCCCAGAAAAGGAACACACACGCCCACAGCTCGGTTCCTGCTTCCTGGAGGATAAGTCCTACTGGGCATTCTACTCACCCTGGACAGGAGGAAGAGAGACAAAAGAAAAGCCCTTACTGTGGAATTGAGGACGATGAGCATGACAGCCAGGAATGTCAGCGCCTTAAACCCATCCAAGTCTTTACTTCCCAGGACACCATAGTACTGACTGGGGATCAAGCCAACCTGGTAGATCACCAATTGTTCTGCAGGAGGGAGATGAGAAATCAGTGGTGAAGGAAAAGGAAGAAAGCTTCCTGAGTCCCTGCTTCATCAGCACCCTAAAGCAAAGGAAAGAGGCCCAAAAGTAAGGCTTGAATTCCCTCACCAAAGCCCAGGGCTCACTCACTCACCCAGCAGGGCCACACACAAGAGAGTCAGGAACATCAAGACATTCTGTGATGACCAAGAAGGAAACAAGACCTTCTGTATCCTCAGGAACCGCTGGACAAGCTGCAGATCTAACTTGGCCCTGAAGAAAAGTCAGGAGGCAGAGAGAAGCCTCAAGGTCAGTTAAGCCTCAGCAGATATCAAGTTTATCTACTTTGTTCCTTCCTGGGACCAGGCAACTACTAAGAATAGATCTTGGTGTGAAAAGTGACTTTACTATGTGACATTCTAATGACAGAAGGAAATACAGAAAAAACATCATCACGAAGGCACCTTAATGATATTAAGTGGGAAAGCCCTTCTTAAATAAGATCCCAAACCCACAAACTATAAAGGGAAATATTGATGGATTTAATGTGACTAGATTGAAATATTTTTGTTTAACCCAGAACCACAGATTTTAGTTAAAAGAGCTGAAGAAGGCACTTGGAGAGAGTAAAACCAACAAGGAAGTAGAATCTAGAGCAGGCAAGGAATTCCTGTACAGAATTCAGGAGATCCATAGATAAGTGAAGGATATAAGTAGGCAATTCACAAAAGGCAAGACCCACATTTCAAATGCAGTATGTGCATTATATTAACACAATGGCACCTATCAGATTGATAAGCCTGCTCAATACCAAATGTCGGGGAGATGGACAAATAGGAACCTTTATGCACTGCTGTTGGGAAGTATAAATGGGTGCAGCTGCTCCAGAGTTTTAGCTATGGGCTACTAATTTACTCTGGAGTGGCTAACCCAGAGATTACCAGTATCCTACCGGAATACGCAGTACAGTCTTGTCTGTGATGATTAAAATACTGGAAGCAATCTAGGTGCCCATCACTAGGGAAATGAACAAATAAAAGGGGTTCTATGCAACCAGGATAGCACTATGCAGCACTCACAAGCGAAAACTCATAGTACGGATGGTTTCCAAAAGACAATGCTAGGTAAAAAAGTTTTTTTTTGTTTTGTTTTGTTTTTTTTTTTAACTAGGAGAGGTGGTACATTGCTGTAATCCCAGCGCCCTGGAAGGCTAAGGCAAGAAGATGGAAAGTTTTTGAGTCCAGCCCAGGCAGCTTAGCAAGACCCTGTCTCAAAAATAAATAAATAAATATAAAGAAATAAAAGGGGCTGAAGATGTAGCTAAGGGGGAGGCTCTGTGTTCAATCTCCCGTACCACACACACACACACACACACACACTTTAAAACAAAGCATGTTATTTATATTAATTCAAAAGCAATGTAATAATACAAGAACGGGTGCCCTGGGGTGAAATGGCACTGAGAATAGTACACGAGGGAGAAGGGTAGTAAAAGAGAGGCTCACGCGGTGACAAGAATTGACAAGGATCATCAACCTTCACAGAATTGCACTTGAGGTTCTAAAGCAAGCAAGCCAACAATAAACAAAAAGGCGGACAGCTGCGAGGGAAAGGTCCCACACCTGAGAGCAGGTAGCCTGGGACCCGAGCGGAGGGTGGGCGCCCCTTCGCTAGCTCCTCTTCCGCGTAGAAGATATCATCGCGGAGTAGGAGCTCGGGGCACCAGACTCGTGGAGGGCAGAGGCCGCTCTCCCACAGCCCCGGGGACACGGCCCCCCACGCCGGTTCTCCTCGCCGGCCTCCCTGCTCACCTGGCGCCAGTTCTGGGCGCGGGCCTTGGGACTGCCATAACCCGAATTCCGACCAACGCGCCCGGGGTCCAGCGCGGGCAGAGTCCGATGAGGCTGGGGACAGACCCAGGGAGGGGCGGGGCCCCGGCGACCACAGAGACGGCGGCGGATAGAGAGGAAGCGCCGGGCAACCCGGAAGTGACAGACTTCTTTAAAAGTACCAACGAATGTTGAGTGTTCCTGCCACTGACGCCCTGGCTAGAGCGTCCCTGGGAGCTTTCCCCTTGGACAAGATGTAGCCCGGGATGTAACTGGTTGATGACAAGTACTTTGTTTTGGTTTTGCTTTTTTGTTTTTTTGAGACAGGATCTCGCTGTTGACAACAAGTATTTTAGATTCTGAATGCAATAGATTTCATCATCTCCCAGGGAAGCCAGCGCAGTCCTTTAAAATCCCGCCACACTAGGGATGTAGCTCAGTGGTAGAATTCTTGAAGTTTTCTTTTCTTTCTTTCTTTCTTTTTTTTTCTTTTCTTTTCTTTTTTTTTTGCACTGGGGATTGACCTCGGGTCCTTGCACTTACGAGGTAGACGGCGGAACCACTGAGTTAAATCCCCGGCCCTGTAGAATTCTTGCTCTATCATGAGGAAAGGCTTGGGTTCCATTCCCCGCACTGCAAACAAACACAAACACTGTCAGTCAGGCTTCCTGCAGCAGTTAGAATAAAATCAAAACGTTCTCATGGCATACGTGGTCGGCCCCTCCCCTGGTCTGTCTGCTCCAAGGAATTGCCACAATTTCTTCTTCGGGGTCCTGGTACTTTCGGTTGTCTTGGCTGGTTCACTCCCTAGCCTAGAGCTTTCGGTGACTGGCTTTGTCTAGCATTAGCTGAAATGTAACCTGCTCACTATACGGAGACTATGCCGCCCAACCCCATTATTCCCCATACAGTACACTTCTATATTCTTCATATTTGTCGCTACTGAAATCATCTGTTGTTCTTATTTTCTTCCTCCATAAGAATAAACATTACAGCAGGGACTCTGCTTTACTCATTACTATTTCCTCAATACCTAGAACACTGCTAGCATATAGTAAGTGCTTAATGAAGTTGGCGTGGTGGTGCATGTCTGTAATCACAGCGTGATCTCACTAGAGTCCTATGTGTGATTCTGGATGTACCTTTCTACCTTCCTTCAATCCTTATTAAGTATCAACTCAATGTCAAGCCCTCAACAAGATCCATGTGTCCCCTGCTTCACGGAGCTTGCAGTGTAGCTGGGAAGGTGAGCCAGGTGACAATCACAGTGGTCTTTAGGAAGTGCCACGACAGAGGTACCATATAGCAGGTTTCCCATCTTTGGCACCAGTGACTTTTGGGTCTAGCAGTTCTTTGTTGGGTAGCTTCCCTACACACTGTAGGGGGCTGAACGGTACCCCAGACCTCTACCCACTAGAAGCAGTAGCACTCACCCTGACCTACCTGTGCCCATCCCAACTATCTCCAGACATCACCAACTGTCCCTTGGGAGAGAGGGGATCAAAATTCTGGCCACCCCTCAGCATTGGGAATCACGGTCACTGTCCCACAACAGAGGGAGGGCTCAAGAGGATGGGAAAATAGGTAGTCCAGAAACACCTTGAGGAAGAGGAAATCGAAGAATGCTTCTTAGAGGTGACATCATTGTCTAAGTATACCTTTGTATTTTGAAAACTGAATATGACAAGTTGCAAGGTTTTTCTGTTTGTTTGTTTTGTTTTTTGAGACAGGGTCTCACTCTATAATTCAGGTTGGCCTTGAACTCACTATATAGTCCAGACTGGCTTTGAATTCCTGGAAATCCTCCTGCCTCAGCCGCCTAAGGGAGGGAATTACAGGTGTGTGCAACCATGTCTGGCTCAAGATGCAAGATTTGAAAAATTAATAAGGCAACCAAAGTGCAGAATTAAGGCAAAGCATGGTGCTGGGGATGTAGCTCAGTGGTTCTGCCACCTGCCTTGCAAACACTAGGTTCTGAGTTTGATCCCCGGTACCCCCGCAAAAAAAATTGAGGCAAAGCAACCTTTACTATCACTTTTTCTCCTTCCCTTCATTTTTCTCCTTTTTGTTTTTTTCAGACAGGGCCTTGCTATATAATTCAGGATGGACTTGAATTCACTATGTGACCCATACTGGCCTCGAACTCATGGCGTTAGCCTCCTGAATGCTGGGATTATAGGTGTGTGCCACTGCACCAGGCAATAGCCTTACTGCTTGAGGTCAATCAGGCTTATAGCTGTAACTGCCTTTCACTCTCAAAAATGTCCTAGTTTTGGGCTGAGGAAGTGAGCAGAGCCTGGATTCAGTCCCTAGCACTAAACAAACAAACAAACAAACAAAAAACTCCTAGTGTGTTATTTGGTGTCATTACTGTCCCATGTCCCCTTAATTTAAACTGTTAGGATGCGGCTATGGTACCACTTCATAGTATCCCATCCTACAGTGTACGGTGTATTTTTATTTTTTCTTCCCTTTTTATTCGGCCAAACTCACTCTGCAGAACCCATCCTTCCCCTACCCTACCCCCCCCGTCTTTAATACATGTGATACTTTGCCACCATTAAAAAAATAAACTGTTCTGCAACAATGCATAAGATTCTAATAAGATTACTGACATTTAGAAATGGGAGGAAAGGAGCTAAAGATGTAGGGAAGGTGTGATACGTAGGGGAAGAACAAAAAGGGAAAAGAAAAAAATGTGAGAGAATGAAAAGATGAAAATAAAGTGTTTGTAGATGGGGAGGGGAGGAGGGGGTGAAGGGAGGGCAGAGGTAAGGGGAAAAAAATGAGAATCAAGACTTGCCATGTAAAGGTACATGATCCCAACAATAAATGTAACTGTACTGTATCCCTAAATGTACCAATAAACTCAATAAAAAAAAAATAAAAATAAAAATAAACTGTTAGGATGTGTCAGGGCTCAGAGTATGAAACCTCAAAGTATGGTGCTTTGGCATGCTGAGTACTTTGAACAACAGCAGATTGGAAGTCCTTGAAGCAATCTCAGAGGTGAGTTCTGTCTGACCTTTTTCCGTCCTCCTGTTTCTCTCCTACCATTTGCCCCGAAGCAAGTTAGATACCGGCGTCCTCTCCCCCAAGGCAAATCCTGGAAACTGAAGTCCTCCTCCCCAAAGTCAGCCATTGAACCTGCACACGTTACTCTCACCTTTCCCTGCCTTTCTGCATAGGAGGTGGTCTTAAAGGGATTCTCTGACCTAATTTATCCAGTACATCATCACATCCTCTTCAAGACGGGGCCTGATTTATATCCAGGAGGAAGGGAGGCTACCTGGAGAGGACAGGAAGACTGAGCGAGACAATCTCTATTAAAAACAACAACACAGGCTACGGTTTCTGCTTGTAATCATTTCCTATGAGGATAAAACTTCCCTTTTTCCAGCTTCTACTAGAATCTTGAGCTGCTCTCTCACTCTTGTACACAGATGAAGAGAACACAAAGAGAGAAAAGGGAAAGTGATTTTGTAATTAGTGTCAAGTTTTTGATGGTGCAGCAGTCTTACTGTTAGGACTTAAGGCGATGCTTTCTTTCTTTTTTTTTTTTTTCTGGTACTGGGGATCAAACTCAGGCCCTGTGAGGCAGGCAGTGGAACCACTAAACCAAATCCCTGGCCTATACTTGGCCTAAGAGTACGCATGGTTTCCACAGTCAGCTAGGCAACAGCAAATCCTGCAAGTAACCAGAATGCTCGTCAAGCGAGGAGCGACACATGCACTTCATGCAATACATTCTATTATACTTACCAAGAGTGACAGAAGTGACATTGCCATAGTGCTTCAGAGCGTGGACTTCAGAGCCAGAATGATTGGATTCAAATCTCACTCTGGCACCTCATGATTGTGTGACCTTGGGCAGGGGGCCTCAGTTTCCTCACCTGTGAAATGGGAGTAATAATCATTCCTAGATCAGAAGTTTGTTGTGGAACATAAATAAGTAGTTGTGAAGTATTTAAATATTACCTGGAAATAAGACCTGCAAGCCGGGTGTGGTGGTGCACACCTGTAATCCCAGCACTCAGGAGGCTGAGGCAGGAGGATCACTGAGTTCAAGACCAGCCTGGGCTACATAGTGAGTTCCAGGTCTGTCTCAACTGCATAGTGAGACCCTGTCTCAAAAAAACAAAACAAAACAAAAAAAACCAAAGAACTGCAATGATGTTATATACTAAAGGTGGGAAAATGCCCATGCGACAGACTTGTGTTGTTGTTTTTCAGTACCAAGAATTGAACTCAGGGCCTTTGCACTGGATTGTTATTTTTATTATTTATTTATTTATTTATTGTTTTTTGAGACAGGGTCTCACTATGTAGTTGAGACTGACCTGTAACTCACTATGTAGCCCAGGGTGGTCTCGAACTCAGTGATTCTCCTGCCTCAGCCTCCTGAGTGCTGGGATTACAGGTGTGAGCCACCATGCCTGGCTTTTTTTTTTTTTGAGACAGGTTCTCACTAAATTGCCCAGGCTGGGCTCAAATTTGAGATGCTCTTGCCTGAATTTCCCAGAGTGCTAGGATTGCAGGTCTTGCTCTACCATACTGGCTTTTGTTATGTTGTTAAATATTAGTTTTTTTAACCGAAAACTTTCAAAGCATATGGTGAAAAAAATTTTTTTACGTAGAATAATAGGGTGTATAATAAAAAATAAGCCTATCACTTCCAAGGCAGCTGCTGTTTACAATTTCTTAGAAATCTTTCTGGAAGTGTTTTAACTATGTGCAAGCTTATATGTATAGCTATACTGCATTTCTCTCTCTCTCTCTCTCTCTCTCTCTCTCTCTCACACACACACACACACACACACACAAATACACACACTTTTTTTTTTTTTTTTGGTACCAGGGATGGAACTTCGGTCCTTGTGCTTGCAAGGCAGGCAGTGGAATCACTGAGCTAAATCCCCGGCCAAAATTTACATTTTCTTTTCTTAATGCTGGGAATTGAACTCAGGACCTTGCGCTTGAAAGGTGGGCAGCAGAACCACTGAGCTAAATCCCCAGCTACACACACTCTTTCTTTTTTAAACACTCTGTCTTGCAGTTTGCTTTTACATTTCATAGTGCATCGTAGAGACTGTTCCACATCAGCATGCACAGACCTCAGTCATTATTTTTTTCCCAC